CTGGAAATATCACTTGCTGTTTATCATCAGTATTTCGATATCCCTCAATGTCTCGATTGCGTGTCTGGTAATTCTAACAAACTACTATTTCACAAAATTTTACCAGCCTTGCTTCCACCAGTCATTTAAGTCAACTCCCATATTGTCCTTCACAGTGAAGGGTAATTACTCTGAACATGAAGCTATAACCACAGACTGTCTAGGTGCTGTAATTAAACCCTTGTATAAGCACCGGTTAGGCAGTCTTGAACTATGCATGTGAAGCCAGTCGAGAGGTATATTCAATCCTACAGATTTCTCATTGTTTGGTAACTATTTGCTGCAAATGCAACAAAAATCAATATAACAAATATTACCCACACAGTATTCTACAGGTTACTTGTATATCTTGAGTAATGGACTTAATACACATTCCTGTTGAACTCCTTCAACAATAGTAACACAAGTGAGCAATCAAAAAAATTGGTCTGGTCAACGGTCACAGGCAACAAAATTATGTGAGCTAGGTCAAAGCAGCCTACTTGTTTACCAATCATAACCATGCAGCTATATAGATAAGATAAGATAAGATAAGATAATTCTTTATTACAACCTTATAGAATGAATTACATATCTATTTTGGTTTATAAAATGTAATAAAGGTGTTAAAATATACATATCAAGTTAGATATCTAATATCTACTACAATACAGTTACATGAAATAATGTAAAAAAATATTAATGATCCATTAGGTGGTTTTCTCTAATGGTATTTGCTGTTTTTATAAATTTGATAAGCTCTGTTAGTAAATATTTGTTGTTTGTATTCAATATATGAATGAATTTTTCTTTGTTTGTACAGTGTTGAAAATTGTTGATTTTCTTTGAAAAATGTGAATATAACAACTCTCTTTCATCTCTGTAAAGTTTACATTTTGTGATGTAATGAATTTCGTCTTCAAGTAGGTTGCATTTAGTACATTTTCTGTCTTCTGTTTTTATTTTTGGTCTTTTGTGCCTTCCCATCTCGATGTTTAGTTTATGGGCACTTAGTCTCAATTTTGCTAATAGACCAATGTTTTCTTTATTATCAAGGATTTTAATGTATGGTTCAGTATTTATATTTTTCTTCAGTAATGTATAAGTTCTTAGTTTTGAATCTGGTCTTTGATTATCTTGGTTCCATTTATAATTGTAATATTCATTCACTTTTTGTTTAAACTGGTCTTTCTTAACTGTTTCTAAATTCTTAATATCATACGATTGTTTATTTTATGCAGATTCATTAACCATGTGTCATTATATTTGTT